GGATGGCGGCGGCAACTGACCCGGCGCGGGTGAGCGGACGGCGCCTCAGGCCCTCGCCCGGCCCACCCCGCCTACAGCACCCGAGGCCCGGATGAGCGGGGGGCGGCGGCCGGGATCCTTCACACCGCCGCCCCCTGCCGTCCGCTCCCGGAGGCCTGGAACTGGTGGTCCCTCTCGGCCCCAGGCCTGGGATCCGGGCCAGGGGTTATCTTGAGAGGGTTCCCGTTCTGACAGCCGAGGGGATGCGGCGTGGAAGGATGAAGTGGGGCTTTTTAGAGCTCCTCGACCCCTCCCTGTGTGGCTGGAACGACCCTCAGTCCAGACACCTCATTGCAGATTCCGGCGGTATCTCTTCTCGGGGCTGTGACCTTGAGCAAGTCCCCTTGCTACCCTTGGTCCTCATTTTCTCCGTAAGAAGGGGAGTGTTAACTATGCTCCTCTCCCGGTTGAGGGAACTGGAACGGGTACACGGTCGATGTGTGTCCTCTCGGGGCCCAACACGGTCCGGGGAGCTTCGCTTAGGATGTTTTTTGCCCAGGGATGCATGCTGGGCCTGTGCTGATTGTAGAGGCTCACCCCAGGGTATTCTGACCCTTTGGCCTCCCTGGCCTCTTGTCTCTCCAAAGCTAAGAACTGCATTGGGAAGAAGTGGGAGTATCGTTTTTGCAATTGCTGCTATGCTAGGGAGGAAAAAGTGGCATGGCATGCTAAGTAATTTGTCTTTAAGTTTAGGGCAAGGGGATCTGGGCTGCAACTGACAGTAGTGAATCTGTTTTCCTGCTTTAAACATTGAGTAATTGGTAATAAGTGAATCCATTAAAATGTTCTTGGAGGTAGTGTGCAGGAACGTAGTGCCCCACTGGGCATAAGTACATGAGGCCCAAGTTATTCTCTAGCAGTCTCCCTGATTGCTTTCATTATAGCCTTGTGAGGACTTAATTTCTCATCCATATTTCTCCTTCCCTCACTTTATTTCAGATTCCCTCCTGTATCCCTCTTTAAAGAGGCCTTCTCTGTTGCCCCATCTAAAGTTGACTGTAATCTTTTGGGTTTCCTTCCTCTGCTCTCTTGTCCTCTGAATCTTTAGGGCCAGCTGACATTGTCATGCTCATTTATTTAGTTGCTTGGTTAGGATCTCTTTCCAGCCCTACACTGAGTATCTGTTGGCTCCTCTATCCCAAAACCTGAACACCCTGGCTTGAGTACATTCATTGTACTCAATAAATGGTTGATGAATAACTAGGCCTCCTCTTCAGGGGCTCTCATCACATTTAGAGTAAATCTACTCCCAACCCCTAGCATGACTTTCAAGGCTCTGCTTGATTTGCCCTTTCAACCACATCTGCTTCCTTCTCTTCCATTCTCCTTTTGCTCGCTGCATACAACTAAGGAGTCCTGAATCTGGCAAACTCTTTTCCATTGTTCAGCCTTCACCCTTGTACTTCCCTTTGTCTGTGGCACTGTCCTCAGCCCTCCACACCCATCCTGTACATAATTGTCACCTTTTAGGATAGTCTTTTCCTGTCCTAGTTCTAGCTAAAGTACCCCTTGCACTTATCTGCTTACCCTCTGGCAACTTTGAGGTGTTTTACTGATATTCAGATCCTACCTCTGCTCAAATGTGAGACTGTGGGTGGCTTCCAAAGCTGCCTGAGCCACAGGTTGCTGTCTGACATGGACGTGTTAGTGGCATTCCCTGTGGGAAGATTAATAAAAGTTGCCAACATATCAAGCATTTACATTTGCTAGGAGGCCAGGCATGGCGGCTCACACCTATAATCCCAGCACTTTGGGAGGTGAGATCAGAGGATTGTCTGAGCCTATGGGTTCGAGATCAGCCTGGGAAACTTGGTGAGACCTCATCTCACAATAAATCAAAAAAGTAGCCAGGCATGGTGGTGCATGCCTGTAGTTCCAGCTACTTGGAAGGTTGAGGGGGAAGGATCGCCTGAGCCCAGCAAGTGAGTGTGCCACTGCACTCCAGCCTGGGTAACAGAATGAGACTCCAACTCAAAAAAAAAAAAGAAAAAAAGTACCAGGAACTCCACTGACTGTCTTGTGAATATTTTCTGTTTAATTCTTAGAACTGCCTGGTAAAGTTGGAAATAATTACAGCAATTTGGAAATTAATGCGTATGGAAATAATGTGACATCCTCATCATGGTTACATAGCTGGCAAGTGTCAGATTCAAGAGGCATGATTTAAATCCCGGGATTCTGGCTCCAGAGCTGGTACCTTTATTTGCTTTAGCACAGTCTGTGAAGCCCTCAGCCTGGGTAGGGACACAGTGAGGACCAGAGGGCTTAGCTGCTGCTGCCGTTGCTGTTTTCATGGTTGCAATTAGTATCATAGTTCTTTTCTTCCATTTCTCTAATATCCCAGAGCATAAACCATCTGCCCCTCATAGTCCTCACAGGATTTCCATTGTCTGTACCATCTCCAGCAGCTTCCCCATCGGAGGCTATTCTCTCAACTACAATTGCATTATAGCCAAAGGTAGTATCTGCCTCCTCTTTGAATCTGGCACAGAAGTCAGCCCTAAGAATACCTCTGTTATTCAGGCCTAGGTCTCTGTACCCTGACCAGTGACTGAGTGACAAGTTCTAATTCTATCCAACAGCACATAGCCAATACCACTACTACTGTTTGACTTTTTAGATGTTGGTGACCTTCAAGGATGTGGCTGTGACCTTCACCCGGGAGGAATGGAGACAGCTGGATCTGGCTCAGAGGACCCTGTACCAGGAGGTGATGCTGGAGACCTGCAGGCTCTTGGTTTCACTAGGTAATGGCTCACCTCTTACCCTAGGGGGGATCCTGACCACCTTCTTGATTCGTGGATAGGCAAGAAAGTCACAGGAACCACTTACTTTCCTTTACACAGCCCCTACAGTTTTCTGGTCCCACCTCCTCCTGTCTTGCCTCCTTGTGTGTGCATCAGGGATCGTTAGGGGTAGAAACATAGTTCTTTTAACACAAACCCTTACTTCAATTCCCAGCACACTCTGTCCTTACTCTGAAGCTCTTATTACTGATTCCACAAGAAGGAATCTGGTCTATCCTGGTGGGGTCAAGTATCACAACAGCACTGTTAGCAGTTGCTGGGTGATAGACTAGTCTAAGAGAAGGGGTAAGTCAGGCAGCCCCTCCCCCCAAGAGACATTTGTCATCAGTGACCTTCAGATATCTTCTTAAGCAATATAATCTTGGTAAAAAGCCACCCTGATGCCTGAATAATCATCACTTGTTTCCTGATGGTGGACTTCTATTGGTTGAGGAGCTATTTTTAGAGGGTGTACAGGAATGTCCTCAAATGGCATGGGTCAACATCCTGAGAAAGCTATCTCAAATCATCTCTGAGTCTTTCATTGCCCCTCTTTCCCCCAGTGTGGTTAATTTCTCTACAACAGAAGGGACAGCCTACAACTCACAGCCCTGTGAGTTACATGAAGTTCCTGGTACTTAATGGCATTATTTTGACTTTGTTGTGTTTTGATCATAGCCTTCTATTTGTAGGAAGTAAAACTGACTTTCTTATTTACCAGAGCAAAATGAGATTTCCTTTTTAAATAAGATATTTAAAAAAATGGGTCAGGATAAAGAAGTCATTAGAAGGGATGGCACACAATGTGTGCTAAACAAACCCCTCACTCTGAGTTCAGTTGGGAAAGTAGACATCAGTCTGTAAATGACAAATTATAGAAGGAAAAATGAGGGTAATTTAGGAATAAATAGCCAGAGGATCATTCCTATCATGAGTACTTCAAAGAAGCTATCTAAGGAAGTAACAGTGGAGCTGAGTAGCAGTTAGCTCAGAATGGAAGGAGGTGGAGGAGGGAACATTATTCCAGGTAAAGGAACCAGCATATAAAAAGTGGCAGGGAGCCGGGCTCGGTGGCTCAGCCTGTAATCCTGCGCCTTTGGGAGGCTGAGGTGAGTGGATTGCCTGAGCCCACGGGTTCAAGACCCGCCTGGGCAGCGAGACCTCATCTCTACAATAAATCAAAAAATCAGCCGGGCGTGGTAGAACATGCCTGTAATTCCAGCTGCTCGGAAGGCTGAGGCGGAAGGATCGCCGGAGCCTAGCAGGTCGAGGCTGGGCTCCAGTCTGGGCGACAGAGTGAGACTCCAACTCAAAAAAAAAAGGCAAAAAACAAACAAACAAACAAACCAAAAAAAACTGAGAATACCTTATATTACGAGGATGTGGGGGAACAGGCACTCTCATGGTGCCTCATTACACTGTGGCAAAAATCAATGCAGTCTCTCTGAAAGACATTTGTCCATAATCAGACTTAAAATCATGTGGTCTTTAACTCATCACTAGGAGCCAGAATTCCTGGCTACCCAGTGTCTTGGTCCAGTCATTAAATGGACCCTTTATTGTTTGAGAAATTTTGTGCATGATGAGATACAAACACCACTCCTTACACTTGTTTGGTTCTCAAGTGTATCATTAAATCTATTGGGGTTTTTTTGTTTTGTTTTGTTTTTTGAGTTGGAGTCTCACTCTGTCACCCAGACTGGAATGCAATGGCCGCTCCCGGCCACCTCAGCCTTGACCTGCTGGGCTCCGGTGATCCTTCTGCCTTAGCCTTCCGAGTAGCTGGAAT